TGCTTGCGCCTTGTTTGAATGAATATCCATTGTTCGCGTCTCGTCTCTTGTATCGGGCCATTCTCGTCTCAGTTCCCTTGACCAGCTCGCTCAGATTTGTTTGTTCTCATCGCTCAGCAAGTCCTGACTCCTCACTCAGAAACTCAGAAAGGCTTGCCCGGAGCGGACTAGTGGCGTCACTTCCCATCGCCCTGGACGTGCCGTATCCCCACCTTACCCGTGCTGGGCCGCCTGGGCGGGGTTCGATGGACCTTTTTCACCCATTGGTCCACGCGAACCACGCCCCCATACGGCGAGCCCCACACACACGCCCTGGAGCAGTGGAGGCTTGATGCCCCTCTTCTGGCCGGCGGCGGCGGCATCGGGTGTTTGGTAGGTATCGCCGTGCCAAGGCGAGGAAGCTTGTGTCTGTGTTTCTGTGTTTCTGTGTTTCTGTGTTTCTGTGTTTCTGTGTTTCTGTGTTGCTATGTTTCTGTGTTGCTATGTTGCTATGTTGTGTGCGTGTGTGTTCTAAGTTCTTGTACCTACACCCATGTTTATGTGATCTTTTTCCCCCATGGTTCTATGGTCCAGCCCCTAGCAAAGCTGCCCGGCCAGCCGCCACACGTATAGGTAGGTAGGCCATCTAATGGGTTCCGTGAACTTGCGAGTATTGGGCGTACAATGTGCGCATGTGCGCATGTGCAACGTCTTCGGCCTTCTCTTTGGGTCTTGTAAGTTGTATTATCCCAGCCACGTAACCATGCGTGCTTATGCGTGTCAGTTCTGCTTGTTCCGACCTCTGCTTGGCGCTGTGTTCCTTCAAAATGGCCTCTCCGCAGGCCCCGGCCCAATTCAGCTGGCCGAACCCCACCCACATCTCATCTTCATCCACCCCAACCCGTCTTGTTCCTTTCCCTCGCCCGCCCTTCCTCTTGTTCAAACCCCATCCGCCGTCACCTCATCACCACCAAGCTATCCACTCCTTCTTTTCTTCTTTACAACCTTTTATCCCTCTATAAACAGCTGTTGCCCTGTGCTGATTATTGACTCGTTTTCTCGCCTCGCCCCCGAAAAGGAGACTACCGCTCTGGCTTGCACTGGCTTAGATCTTTCTCTTCGTCTCCTTTTCTAACAACCAAATTGTGCTTATCATATTCATTGCTGTCCCCGAGGGGACGACGGGCAGCGAATCCCGCTTTCTGCATCCCTCCTGCTGGATCTATATTGCAAAACAACGCCAAAGTCGTGGTCAACCATCACCACTTTCCTACGCCGCAATCCCGAGACGGACGAGTTTAGTCACCCTTGCACACCGCACCCGAATCGGACAAGATCAGTCACCGTTTGCCCAAGGCACAGTCATAGCGACAACGAAAAACTGCAGGGTGTACTAGACCATGTGAATCGATTCTCAACCAGCAAGCGAAATCACCATCGTGTCTCACGGTTACATACCCCCAAGCTTCCCCCCAACCTCCCCAGCCCTTCACTGCGTCTGTTCGATCGAATCGATTACCCTGTAGCAACCTTGCAAGTCTCGACACCCGACCGGTTTACTGCCAAAAGGAATCTTTCTTTCAAAGAAATCAACAGTATATCTGTCACCCGACTTGCTTCATCTGTCGATTCGCTGCAATGGACGAACTCACCACTTGCCGAACGGGGTCGCTTAATATTCCTCAAGTAGGAGTGCAGCTGCGGTCGACGGGCGTCGACGAGGCGTACGATTTACCGTCACAGGGCTTTGTCCTGACCCTGAGTGACGATATTGTGGAGCAATTGATGAGGTCTCATAAAAAGGAAGAAAATATTGAGATACAGTTTGGAAAGACGCCGGTATGTTCAATGTCACCGATTGACTTTTCCCTTGTTTCTACTTCCTGCTCTTTCCAGTGGGTGCTACCTTTGGACATATTTCTTTTTATACTAAGCGTCACTTTGCAGACTCTTCTTTACGGCTCACATTCCTCCCAAATACCCCGAGACAACCAAGGTGTGGACGACCGACTGGCTGGCCTTGATCTTTACTTGACAAAGCCCTTTCAGTCGTCCCGTACTGCTGAGCGCGTGCCATCCTCCGCATACCTGTTCGGCAAAACCTCATCACCTCGGACAGAGACGGAACCCAAAAAGGCTGCTGCGCAGACGAGCAAGCGGGAGGCAACAAGCGCGAGCAAGGAGGTCGCGACAAAGAAGAAGCCCGCTGTATCAAGCAGGGCCGCAACTTCAGCGGGTCTGAAGTCGGACATCGAGACGTTGCAGAATGGGCTTGCTGCCCACGATGCTGCTCGGGATCGGTAAGCTTGCTCGGCCATTGGTTGCATCCTGCTAGACTGGGCGTTTGATCAGTTGTGCTCATCAGTTTTCCTAGTGCTCGCGTTGTTGGAAAGTTACCCGCCGGCGGTAAGGGCAGGGGCAAGCTGCTATGCAATAGCTATGTTCCAAGCGCTTCCAAGGCAACGTCGACGTCACCAGCCGTCAAGCCAACCTCGACACCGCAGATCACGGCAACTCAACAAGTGATGGAGCGGAAGAAGGAGCAACGGTCGATACTGGTACACGAACTAGCCCTTGCCGCGCAAACGACAGAACATCTCAAGAGCAAATGGACGGGCAAGGACGAGGACTTCCAGCCTACACTTGAGAAGACGGCCCAGTACGACGGTGCCTCGCGCAAATGGACGATGAAGCAACCCTGGTGGAGAGAGCTCAACGTCTGGAACTACAACTACGCGACGCAAGATGACCGACAAACCGTCATCCACAACGCTGTCCGACAGTACGACAGACTACGGCTATCGGCTTCCGAGAAAGAGTGGCAGCTCTTGCTACCCAAAGCGGAGCGGGGGAAGGGCAGGTGCTTGAGTCGACTGCAGGCAAACATTGCCAAAGGACCGCCTCAGCAGGCATCGAAGACCAAGGTGCACAAGAGGGATGACACCCACGGCGCCAAGAATGATGCTGCTGCAGGTAGTCCCGGCGGTGACAAGCCCAAGGCCGGAGGCGAGAGCTCGTCGCAGTCCAAAGCGAGCTCTCTGCCAGCGAAGGCGAAGAAGCCCACTGGTCAAGAGACACAGCCCAAGAAGCTCCTGAGCAATGCCAGGTCCAAGACCACCGCGGCCAAGACTTCTCCATCCAAGCCAAAGCAGGCGAGTGCGAAGGTGGTGGACAAGAATGACAAACGTGTTCTCTCGGCAGCCATTGTCGAGAACTCCGATTCTTCTGAGGGCGAAGCCCCTGCGGCTAAATCAAAGCCAGCTGCCAAGAAGGCCAAGGACACCGTCGTTGTTGCCACGCGGCCTTCTGTGGCGTCCCGGGAACCAGCGAAGAAGCAACAGGCCGTCAAGCGACCCAGAGACGACTCGGACTCCAGTTCCAGCTCCGGCACGCCATTGTCGAAACGCATCAAGGCTACGAAGCAAGCACTGCCTGCCCCCAAACCCAAGGCACCGGCCACCAAAGCGACTTCTCGTAGCCAGGCGGCCCGCTTGCCTTCCTCGGCATATGGAAGCAAGAATATGAGCACTTGTCCGAGAAAGTCGTCCCCGCTTGCTTCCTCACCACCTACGAATGCGTCGGACTTGGAGGACGAGGAGACACCGCCCGCTTCGAAGAAGCGAAAAGCTGAGGTCGAGAGCAAGCCCACCACGGGTAGCAAGCGCAGAGCTGTGGAGAATGTGCCTGCCGATGTCTTGAACAAGGCACACAAGTTCAAGATATGCTATCAAAAGTATCAGGCCTTGCACTACGAGATTGAGGCCTTGGATGACCCTCCGAGCGAAAAAGTGGCCAATCTTGTGGAGATGCGATCTCACCTGGAGGTTCTGAAGAAGGATATCTATAATCGATATTCGTCTCACAGAGATCAAGAAGCATTGAGGGAACGATGAGAGAGGTCTTGGTTCTTTTTTTCTTTTTTTTTTTAAGCATATCTGCCTATGTTTGGTTCAATCACATACAGACAGACACACAAGATGTTATGACATTGCATGCTCACTCCAGTAGGGGCAAACAAGCGATTTGTTTTAGTTATTTTTGCGATGATCTTTTCTTCTCTTTCAACCTTTCGTATCTTTGTGGATTCTTCTTCTTTTTTTTGCTTCTTTTTTTTCTTCGAGACAGTATGTCAGAAGAACTACGGCGTATAATGGGTGGGAATGATTTTGCTGGAATAAAGACCTGGATGGAATAGGGAACACCCCGCCCCTCGGGCCTCGGACGGATTAAGGATCAGGATACGGTATAGGGACAGGGAAATAAAGGAATACCGAGGATTTGGGAAGCTCGGCATTAGCAATTAAGGGAAGCAGGGGAATTGAAATTTCTGCTCCATGGCATGCATGCATGATATTGAACTCCGTTAAGGACTGAAGATGATTTGAATCGAATTTGGAAGCAAGAGATTTTTCTCATGACAAGAACTGGATAGGAGCCATTTTGGTGAGCCTGGGCCGGGAGCGTGTTGTGTGTGGTGTTGTGTATTTATGTTTTTTGGTTTGGAAGTGATTTGGTTTTGATTCGATGTTGACGACGATTTTTATATATGTACTCCGTACATACCATACCATACATATGACAGGGACAGAAAGCTGGAAAGACTCCACACCATACGCTCACAAGCAACTGGTAAGATGGAGCATAAAGAGGCAAACACGAAATGTGCGCCTCCGCTACGCGTCGCCACACAATTTTTTCAGTTTTGCCTAATTACAGAGTATGTACCTACATGGTAGCTTGAAGAAGGACAGGAAGGTTCTGAAGGTCTGAAGAACAGACAAGGCAAGGCTACCTAGGCAATGTAGGCAAGGTATAGGAGAAGAGATTTGATATCTTGAAACTTTGCCGTTTGTGTCATTTTGCTGGTGTCATTTTTGAAACCCTTTCTTCTCTGCTCTTGACATACATACCTCTACTCTAAGCTTCTTTCGGTCAAGTTTGGTGATTGGTGGGATTGGCAATGCGAAGCCCGGCAATCAACATTCTTAATCTGCATTTTGCCTCTCAGAATCCATCAAATAGGTGAGATGGCCGAGTTGGTTATGGCGTCAGGTTAAGGTTGACAACCTCAACAACAAAAAATTGTTTCCTGATGGAGAAATCCGCCTGGGTTCGAGTCCCAGTCTCATCATCCTCTTTTTGTGGGTCTTTCCTTTTTTTTTTTTTTTCATCCTTTTGTTGCGCACGCCCATGCTTCTCTTTTGGGTGTTTTTTTTTGTTACCGCCAGGAGTAGTTAGTTTTCATGCTTGGTCTTTTTCTTCAACAGACAAACGCGTTTGTCACTTGGCACATGAAGTTGGTTCGCTTAGGTATCTAACTTAGGTAGCTACTCCGTACAGTACATACCACGACAACAGGGATTACAACCCCCCGTAAGAAGAACGTGAATCATATGGGGGTGAATCTTGTATTGTATTGATCGTTTGCCACATTCGTTGACTTGGAAGTTGGTGTGAAGTCGAGCGGTTGTGTATTTTTGTTTCCAACAGGTATGTATAAGACTCCCCCCCCCCCATTGCCTCTCGAGCCTTGCCTTGGATAGGTCTGTCGGATATGGGTACTTTGGAGGTCCGATAACGCTGGGCGGTAATACAGGGCAGAAGTCACGTACACACATCATCACAAAATCACGGTCAATCAATACAAGCCCTTTATTACCCAAAACTCATTATATTTGACAAGGTCACACGTCTCTCTCTTGTACAATCACTTCATCACATTGATCCTGCACTTCTGCTCACAACCCATTCCGCAACCAGACTCGGCCTTCCCTGCTGCATTCTCTTCTGCAAAGGACAGGGCTTCGCCATGACTCACCTCCGAGCACATCAGAATTATCGAGCAATGTCCGTTGAAGAACGCGCTTGATCAATCTCGGACCAGGACACGCGAATTTGATTCATCTGATGACTCGTGGGGCACTGGCATCGCAGAGCTCCTAAGTGCGAAGTCGCGGTGTTGAGGGGGAGGCCAAGCTCGTAGGCCATCGTCAGATCACTAGCACTACAGAGATGCGGATGGGATTGGAGTTCGGCAAGCCGCACAAGTTTCTTCTTTAGACCTTAGTCTCCGACTCTCCTCGAACATCCCCGGCGGCACATCTGCATCAAAGCCGTCGCAGGCTGGGAAGTCCACCTTGGGAATCGAGTACATGGCAATTCCGTTGACCAAGAATGATGCATCGAGTGGCGTGCCCGAGCCGGTTTCGGACAGTTCTGGCGAGAAGCTGTGGGAGGAAAGGATATTTTCCTGCCATTTAATGTCACCAGTCGGCCGTGTCATCAAAGACTTTATAACCGTCAAGGAGCTGCTGGAATGCTCGTCGAGGGTAGGATCTTGCACCGTGACATCTCTGGAGGTGCCAGAGAAGACTAGGTCTGAAAGACGAAACTTGTGCGGCTCGCCGAACTTCAATCCCTTCCGCATCTCTGTACTGCTAGTGATCTGACGATGGCCTACGAGCTTGGCTACCCCATCAATACCGCGACTTCGCACTTGCTGCTAGAATGCTTGCGAGATGCGATCAGTCAGAGCGCACTAATCTCTCTACTTCGAGGGTGGGATCTTGCGCCGTGACATCTCTGCCCACTGTCCACAACGTCATCATCACGGACCACACAGAACCTGATACGGATGGTGCATAGCAGGGAGTGCGGCGAGTGAAGCACGATACCTGACCGGCACAATACAATTTATGGCGGTGGAGGTACCGCAGAAGGTCGATCATATCTATCGCCACGACGTCGAGCCATTCTTTTACCTTTTGCTTTAGCTATGCGGACGCGAAGCAATACTATCTTGCAAGCAGTGTGACGTCTAGTGATGCCTTGTTAGTTATGTCATAAGGCTACTGATGTAAATACAACCGACCCACGATCTCAAGGTAGTCTGCTTGAGCCATTGTATTTAACAGAAGCTTGTTGAAACTTGAAACTTGATGGCTTCAAATCTCGTTGTGTCTGATTGTGACTTGAATCGTGTTGCTCAACAGCGACGATAACCAGCATTGCCGACTCGACGGCATCTTCATACATAGGCGGACCTACGACTGCTATCAATTTGCCGTAGTACTAGTACGACTGGCTCGACGACTACAACGAGGGGCAACTGACGCTGAAAATGTGTTGATTCAGAGAAAACCAATCCATAAGCTGGAGTCGGAGCAGGAGATGTTAGAACTTGGGAGAAGCGAGGCGGAAGATACCTGGATGGTCCCCGTTGGAGAAGATTGTGTGGTGCATGCAGAGTAAAATGCAGGACGTGAGGGAGACGGACGTAAAGGGGCTCAATAGATGAAGCTCGCTTTATTTACACACCTTATTGATCAACCACTGATGACTATACGGCGCTTTGGCCTAATGTTCTCTGTATGGCTTTTGCAAGTTGCGAGGAATCATTGAGCTTTCAACTCCGAGTCTGAGGCCTCAGGCTGTATGGGCGGGCGGGGCTGCAGACGGCTGTGATTGGGTTGCAAGTTGCAATGGATCTTCACATTCAGCAAAGCCACGAGCATATCTACACTGCTTTCTTTGGTACATCCGCAAACTCTCGAGTCTCGTGTCAGCTCACGCGCCAAGTTGTCTTCCAGAACTCGCCCTCGCAGCCCTCGCAGCCCTCGCAGCCCGTCATGGCGCATGCGCGGGCCCTGTCCGCCGACGAGATCTCCTGCGCCGAATTTTGGGATCTGGTGGCCGAGTATCCCGCCGTGGTGGAAGCTGTATCCGAAAGTAGGACCGGTTCGTTATTCTGTTTGAAATATCCTTCCAAACGACCTCGCTTGCGTTATGGTATGGCGAGGAATTTGAAAGGCCGAGTTCCAACTTTTAAGGGCCCTGAAAGAAACCGCCGCCCTCCCCCCCCAAACCATCATTCTGACCAGTGCAGTCAAACCGGGACAAAAGACGCTCCTGGAACTCGACGCGTACCGTTACGGCGACGCACTCGACGCATTCCGTGTCGAGAATCCCCCGGAAATAACGCTTGCCCAGGTCCAAGATCTAGTAGAATGGAAACTGTACTTGAGCCCTCTACACCCTCTACACCCTCTACACCCTCCCGCTGTACATCTCACGTAGAGACTAATGCACCATGGCCCCCTTATCAAGCCGCCATGGTAAATACCGCCCAGCTCTCATGAGCCTCGTCAAATCCAACGACGCTCGAGCCGCGCAAGCCATCATCTCTTCTGCCATCAAGGCCTACCGCGCCAACATGCCGTCTTCCCTGGAGCTACACCAAGATGACCACGCCAACGCGTCACAGATGGCCCTCGACATGCTCACCAAGATGCGCGGCATCGGGCCCGCCACGGGGTCCCTACTGCTCAGCGTCCATGACCCCCTGCGGGCCATCTTCTTCTCCGACGAGGCCTACTGGTGGCTCTGCTGCGGGGGCAGAAAGGACGTTCCCATCCGGTACAGTGCCAAGGAGTACCGGCTACTATGTGAGAAGGCAGCTGTGCTGGCAAGGCGGCTGGGTAGTGAGACGCAGATGGTGGATGTAGAAAAGGCAGCATATGTTGCCATGAGGGTGCCCGGACAGGCTGCTGGGACGAGCAAGTCCGATAAAGACGGAGGAGAGGATCACAAAATGGAGAAGATGAAGAAGACGAAGAAGACGAAGAAGACGAAGAAGACGAAGAAGACGAAGAAGACGAAGAAGACGAAGACGAAGACGAAGACGAAGACGAAGACGAAGACGAAGACGAAGACAAAGGTTGAAACGGCGGACAACACCGTCGAGGAATGCACGATAGGTGCAAAGATTGGAGATGCGGAGGAGCCGCGGAAGAGCGAGGCCTTGCTGGGCGAGAGCAAAGACTCTGCCAAACGCAAAGCGGCGCAGGAGAAACAGGTTGATCAGGCCATGGGATTGAGGCGGTCGAAGCGGCGGAAACAGCCCGCTGATAGATGATGTCCGTCACCAGGAGGCATGTGCTTCGCATTTGGCTCATGGATGTGTGTGTGTATGTGTGTATGTGTGTAGGCATGCCCATCCACGCAGCCGCTCGTTGCAATTCCCATTTCCCAATTCCAGCGTGAAAATCAACAGTCACAACTTACAGACAAAGGCATCCGGCGCAGATGGGCCCACGGCACCCTAGTGCACACTCCTATCCAGATTTTTGATCATGCGGCACAACTCAAAGCTCCTCCTTTATGAAAATACCCATGAGAACATGATTGTGCGGTATCACTGCATGTGAAGATCCAAGAAGACAGGGGTCACAGCCTCACAGGACGGGCCGTGGGAGACGTTCCGGCCGGCAGGCGCATCGAATTTTCCAGCGGGGCGAGGGTAGAAGAAAAAAAAAATATCGTTTTGCCAAGACCCAACTTCCAAGGGAGCCAAGGGACATACAATAGCCGCCCACCGCGGCCCACCATCGGAAAGCCTCTCCTCAAACCTCAAATCCCGCGCGCCATTTCTCCTCCGTGTCCACGTACATACCGACATTTCTGCTCCTTCCTCGTCATCATCACTGTCAAGTCAAGACTTCGGATCAAACTACCCCCCTCGGGCCACCGTACCGCATCTCAAACGCTCGCGCTTCCGCTCCCGCTCCCGCGAATCCCCCAGACCGACCGCTACTGCCCCCTCACTCGCCCTCCCCTCCCCGAAACATCACCGTGAAGTTGGGAGCGTACGAGTTCGCAAACATGGGCAACGTAAGAAGAACCTCAATGGAGCATCATATTCCTCTGGACTAGGGCTGAAACATTGGAAAACAGGGAGCCAAGGCGCAGCAGAAGCGTGAGCGCAACGCAAAGGACGGCAAAGTCGCCAAGTCACAGCTCAAAGTCGTATGTGGGAAATCTCGCGGAATCTTATGATGAAACTTTGGAACTTCTCATACTGACGCTGTGCCTTGTCTTTAGAACCAACAGGCCATGAACATTCAGTGCCAGGTGTGCAAGGCGACGTTTCTCTCCACGACAAAGGCCCCTGCGTACGTTTGACCCCCCTCCCTCGGGTTGTTCAAGCTTCTATACTCGATCGGACATCACCAATTGAACTAGGATATGAGTGCTAACAAGACAAATTTTTTCATATAGTCTCCTGGAACATGCTCAGAACAAGCACAGCAAAAGCATCGCCGATTGCTTCCCTGGCCAGTCTGCTTGAGCCGG